AAATCACTCAGAGTAGTGATCTAACAATGCCGGTACCTGCATTTGTCACAGACATGCAGGTCAAAGCTGTTGCTGAGGTAGGAGTCCATAAATGGCTTATCGCAGTCTTCACACACCAGGTAGTCTGGTTCAATCACCGGTCCTGATGGAACGAAATCACACGTGAAATGGATGCTGTAGACCTTCCCAGTGGGTGCAGTATTACTGCCAGAGGTGCAGTGGACCTCCATGGATCCGCAGCGAACATTTAGCTGTCGGGCATCAATTTGGGTGAGATTTCAGAAGGTACCTGGCTGGTGGACCACCTTCGTCACTCTCTGCTCCTCCTCCTCTTCTTCCTCAATGAAGAAGCCTGCCCCAGAGTCAATCACCTTGGAAACTTTGGCACATGTACCACCTGAAAATGTTAGATGAACACGTTCAATTCTGTCTAAAGGGGGTCACAAATATATACACAATCTGAAATTTATATCCTGATAATTTTCTGCAAAAGAATAAATAAAAAGGTATAGAGTGTTTATCTTTCTCCAAGTTCCCTGAAACTACAACAAAACATTTCCTATTGGCTGAGAGACTTAATGTCAGAAATGTGTAATTTCAGTCAGATGGTATCGGCCCGGTCACCTTCGGCAGAGGGTTTGCTGGCGAGCCTGGCCTGCCGGAGCATCAGCGCCCTCTGCCGGTTACGTTCGATCTTCGCTCGCATGGCTGCGGACAGAACCTCTGCGCTCTGCTCCTTTTCCGCAGCCGACAACGACATGTCATCCTTGGTACCGCTTATCGGTTCCATTTCCGGTCCGTTCCTAAAAAGCAGATTATATTACTCGTCCCAAATATGACACTTAGTTCACTTACTGAAGAAGCAAAGAGAGAACGAGGGATTTACTCTACAATCACATTTCCGACACAACTGTTTTAGCATTTGTAGTTACCAGTAACCGGTTTTCAGAAGATCCAGACAGCTTTGAAATACCACCTGAAGCTTAATCTAGATCGCAAAAGTGACGATAATGTATAAAGTGTAAAAGTGGGGGAAGCGCCGCCGCGTCGTTATGGAATTACAAAGAGACCGATCGGTTACGGAGGCTTGCGTTATAGTGAACATAAGGTATCCGTACAGTGCAGCTGACAAGCGAGACAGCCGTCGATCTAAGAACACTGCGTGCTTTGCTAGACACCGAGAGGAAAATTAGAAGGTTAGTTAGATTAAATACCAGCAGTGGAGCTTTAACCTGCAGTTCTTTGTTTTGAAATGGGAGTCCGCGCGTATTGAT